CCACAACTTCCTTTATTGTGTCATGCCATGCCCAGGGCCCCCAGAAAGAACTGGGAGTCTTTAGCTTGGAGGATAGGAGAGGATGACAACATACTAGCATTCTTTCATTCATTCGTGTATTCATTCATTCATTCATTCATTCATGTATTTACTTCCATTCACTCACACATTCCCTTGTTCCATTCAATTACTCATCCCTTCATTCTTTGGACACTGAACATCTACTATTGATCAAGGCCCAGAATATTTAGTGTGGGGTAGGGGCAGGATACCCTGATGAATCAACACTGCCAGCTTGCTCATGGTCAAGGAGAAATTAACATAAACCAGCCCAATCTAAGAGAAAAAACAGCATGAGAAAGAAAGAAAGGGCTGTGAGGTGTGTGTGTGTGTGTTTGTGTGAGGGGATTGAGGGCACTGAGGGAGGGGATGTCATTTCCACTTGGGAGGGGCCCAAAAGACTTCCTGGAGGTGGTGCCACTTGAGCCGGGCCTTGTTGGGGGCAGGGTTGGGATGTGGAGTTATTAGAGGGCATCAGAGTGGAGAGAACAGCAGGAGCCGAGGAAACCCCAGGTGTGGGAGGCACCATGGGGAGCCCTGCTCATGGCTTGAGAAGACTAGAAGTCAGTCTGGACAGGGAGGCCAGGGCCAGGCAGAGGGCAGGGCGTGTGCTCCCACATCTCTGCCAATGTCACAGGCCAGGGAGCAGCTTTGTTCTGGGTGACCAAGAGCCATGGTCATGGGTCGATGGCAAGACCCACCTGCCTATGAGAACTCCTTAACTGTACAGGCAGCCTTAGACGGAATGAGCTCTTCAATCTGGGAGGTATGCAAGTGGAGGCTGGGTACTAGGGGTATGTGTGTGGTGGGTAGAGCTATAGGTTCTGGCCCATGGACGGGTTCAGCTAGGACAGTGCCGAAAGTGAGAGCTGGAGTGGATGATGTCAGAGATCCCCTCCTACCTAGAAAGTCTGTGGTCCTATCTGGGAAAACTAAAAGGCCCAGCAGAGGGAATTCCTGGGAGTTTGGTTATTCACTAATTCATTTCTTCATTTGCTCCTACACCCTTGCCTCCCTTCCTTCCTTCCTTCTTTCCTTCCTTCCTTCCTTCCTTCCTTCCTTCCTTCCTTCCTTCCTTCCTTCCTTCCTTCCTTCCTTCCTTCCTTCCTTCCTTATCATTTACCTTCTTTATCATTTAGTCACTAAACCCTTGCTCCCGGCAGGCCCTGTGCTGAGAACTCATGACTCAGATGAGGTCCCTGCCCTTGTGCGTTCCTAGTCTGATGGTGGAGACAGACTGGTGCCTGATGGTGGCCCAATGCAGTACCACCATGGACTATAGGTGGAGATGTTTTCATTGTGTTTTGTCATGGCATGGGGAAGGAGAGCTGGGGTATGGACCTGAAGAATTAACACAAGCATTTGTCCTCCAGCCAGGAAGGCCCCAGTGGTGGGGCCTGATGAAGGATGTAATGTGGGAAAAGCAGTATTTGTGGGAGAAAATACTCTGGGCTCCCTGGGCTGAAGAGGCGGGCTTTCTGAAGATGCAGGGCCCTGAGGACCAGGCCTTTGGGCTGAGTGCCCCACAGCTCATCCCACACCAGAAATGAACCAACTGGAATTGGGAACCTCTAGAGCAGCGGTTCTCAACCTGTGGGTCGAGACCCCTTTGGGGGTCGCCTAAGACCATCGGAAAACACACATATAATTACATATTGTTTTGTGATTTATCACTATGCTTTAATTATGTTCAATCTGTAACAATGAAAATACATCCTGCATATCAGATATTTACATTACGATTCCTAACAGTAGCAAAATTACAGTTATGAAGTAGCAACGAAAATAATTTTATGGTTGGGGGTCACCCCAACACGAGGAACTGTATTAAAGGGTCGCGGCATTAGGAAGGTTGAGAACCACTGCTCTAGAGAATTCCTTGACCAGCGTTAGCTGTAAGCAGGCTGTGTAGAGTGGTGGTTGAACTCGTGGGCTCCAGATACAGATCAGGGTTCTTCAACTGTGTGACTTTGGACAAATGACTCTTTGCCTTCATTTTCTCCTCTGTCAGAGGATAATCACAGTACCTTCCTCGCAGGGCGAGGCCCGCGGCTGGTGAGGTACATGGAGTGCGAGCACAGTGCTGGGCGGGTCAGCAGGGCTGTGGTGACGATGACAGTGCTGCTGCTGCTGCTGCTGCTGATGATGTTGATATGCTGCCAGGAGCTGCCTTTGAAATCTCTGGGCCTCATTGCCCCGGCTGTAAAAAGGGGGGGCTGACCTAGCTCACTGGATCTCAAAGTAGGGTCCCGGTGCCAGCAAAACAAGCATCCCTTGGGATCTTGTTAGAAATGCCGCTCCTCGGGCTCTCCTGCAGCCCTCCTGGAGACGGCCCAGCAGGCTGTTTAACAGCCCTCTGATTCTGATGCTGAAGTTTGAGGAGCATTGACCTAGCTATGGCTTATGGCCTCTTCTCCGCCTGCCTTCCCAAGGCTGTGGTTCATGCAGGTGTGTTTCATGTTTCCGGCATTTAGGGCCCTGGTCTGGGGGCTGGTGGGGAGGGGGCACATCCCTCAGGGGGCTCCCAGGTGAGC